AAAATATTATTTTGTTGTAATTTAGGAATTATTAAGTACGAGACTATTATTATAAGTTAGCTTCCTGATAAAATGTACGTGATAATGATATTTTTGTTATACATATGCTTCTATTACTTTATTTAATATCGTGTCTATTCTTTAAATTCTTTAAATTCTTTAATTTTTTAAAATTCTTTGCATGACTTATTTCACATTATATTTTAAAAATTTATTATAAATATATATTTGGTTTATTATAACAATTTAAATAAAAAATTAATTAACCAATGTAAAATAAGAAATAGCAGTTTAAACCAATAAGAAAACAACATTATTAAAAGAAACATGTGTCTATAAAAATTTGTCGAGTAACGCTGCTTATTAATATAACAACTAATTTTAACATATTTATTATTTATAACATAATATTAAATTATCTGTTATATTTAACAGTAAATATTTAATAATAAATTATGTTGAAACCTTACCTCACGATATTTGTATAGTTGAAAATGATTGAACAGAGTTATCAAAAATTGTATACTAATATATATATTTTTCCATCTTGAAATATTAGGATTATATACAGGTCTAGGTTTTACCTACAAAATCAGAAAAAGCACTATCGTTTTACACTTAAAATTAATTGGATTTGTTTTTAATTTTAGATAATTAATTATAGATAATTAATTATAGATAATATATACATTTTAGATCTTGTTGTATTAAATATCTTTGTTATCTCACCTTTATTTTAAATTCATCTAAACCTAAACGCGGTGCACCTGGAAACCAGCTAGGACCTTTCCAAAAAACAGCTAACTTGTTAGTCCATGTATCCATATTTATACTTTTCTTAATTAAATCTTTCAAGTAAAAGATCTATAACATTGCAAAAAGAATTAATTAAAAATAGTTTGATTTGCAAATTATTGCTTTTATATATAAACTTATTTTTATTTTTTGTAGCTCTTTAATTTATTAATAAATTAATATATTCAATATATATAATAATTTTGATTTGTATTACAACTTATATAAAAGTTAACTTATTTTTTTGAGATATTATATATTGAAAGCATATATATATATATATATATATACGTATATCCATATACACTATATATACTATTTATTTATTATCGTGTTCTTTACCTGGAGATATAACGCTAATTAAATG